TGCTAAAGGGAGCCCTTCGGACAGAGAAGCAGCAACAGCCAACAACAACTGACCATTAACACACATGATGATATAACCCAGAAACCAACCCAGGTATGGAAGTATCCAAAGTAAATAAGCCTACAAGATTGTAAACAGGAAACCAGAGACACCAACCAACAAATGAGGACAATTACAAACCAAAAAGAGGGAAAAAATCTATGTCTTTATAGAACTTCTAGATGGTAAGGAAGTCAAAACAACTACAAGATAGAATGGACTATTCTAAACTTGGGAAGAAAACTATAAACCACAGTGTAACCTCAAAAAAAATGATAAAGTTTCACATCAAAATAAAAAAGAGGACTAGCATAAATATTCAGCAAATACTAAAATAATAGCAATGAAAGAAATGATAACATGATTCATAAACAAAATGAGCTCAGCAAAGAAAATTATATGGAACAAAGAAATCGACCAATGAAAAAGCACATGACAAAAATGACAGCAACAAATTCATATTTGCTGATAATTACATATCTGGCAAGGGACTTATCTAAACGATTGATGGAAAATTCCAATGCCTCAACACCAAAGGAATTAACAATCCAATTGAAAAATGGGCGGAAGCCATGAATAGACACTTCACCAAGGAGGATATTCAGGTGGTCAGCTAATACATGAAAAGATGCTCACAATCATTGGCCATCAGAGCGATGTAAATCAAAACAGCGAGCTATACCGTCTCACCCCAGCACTGATGGCAAGGTTCAATGAGACAGAAAATAACAAATGCTGGTGGGTATATGGAGAGACTGTGAAGTGACACAACCACTGTGGAAACCAGTATGGCGATTCTTTGAAAGTTGGAACTGGAGATACCATTTGACCCAGCAATCCCATTACTAGGTATATATCCTAGAGAGGTGAGAGCCAAGATAGAAACAGATACATGCATGCTCATCTTCATCACAACACTACTCACAATAGCAAAAAGATTGAAATAACCTATGTGCCCATCAGTGGAAGAGTGGATGACCAAACTATGGTACATACACATACTGGAATGCTATGCAGCACTAAAGAAGAATACAGAGTCTGCAAAACACTGCATAATATAGATGAACTTGGAGGACCTTATGCTGAGTGAAATAAGTCAATCACAGAAAGACAACTATAGTATTAGTTCATTGTTGTGAAGGGTCAAGGAAAGGTTTATATACGGAGGGAAACTTTCTTTGTTGGTTGCCAGGGGTGGGAGGGGAGGGCGGGGGACACTGCAAAAAAAAAAAAAAATTTCATTGACCCATGTCACTTTAGTTTTGTATATTTCACTGTACATAAATTATATTTCAATAAAATGCATTAAAAAAAGTGAAATAGGAACTCTGTAGTGCAATGCCTAAGGCATTTGACTGCTATGCAGAAGGCTGGTGGTTCAAACCCACTATCTACTCCTCAGGAGCTCTGATAGGGTAGTGCCTAAGGCACTTGACTGCTAAGCAGAAGGCTGGCCGTTCAAACCCACCAGCCCCTCCTCAGAAGGAAGGTTGGGCAATCTACTTCCGTAGTAATACTGCCTCAGAAACCAAAGGAGGGGGATCTATGAATCGGGTCCGACTTGATGGCAAATAACAATAACACCAACAGCCACTCTTCGGAATAAAGATTGGGCCATCTACTTCCATAGTGATACTGCCTCGGAAACCCAAGGAGAGGTCACTATGAGTCTGATTAGACTCGATGGCAGGGAGGGAAAAGTGAAAACAACAAAACTCTTTATTCTAACATATGAATAAAAATATCCCACAATTCACAAATATAATTTCTAGATAATCTACTACTATGCATTATTCATTCTACTGCTCTATTTTTGATACACACCTAAAAGGAGAAAATTCTGGTCAGAGCTTTACCTTTGTGGCATACGTAGGTTTATCTATGGCTTCATCCCCTATGAAAAAGTCAAGATCATCAACTCCCCTCAACACTCTCCTTTGGGCTTGGTCAACAACCTTTGCTGACTCTCTGATGGCAATACCTTTAAAAAAAAAAAAAAAAAAAAAAGCACAATGAGTTACATCATTATCCACATTTATGTAAATAATCAAGAGAGAATGGTATAATCCCTATGTAAATGTTCAATATTAGGATTTTATCTGAGATAGGAGGGTGCTCACAGAAGATATTTTTAATGTGTACATGCGGTGTAGTAAATTACTTAGTGTGGCTTTTCTACCCATAAGTCTTTGTAAACTCCAAGGTGGGATTTTCTATGAGCAACTGAGGAGCTCCTGATTGCTAAAGTTGTCCACCTGGAGTATTTCTGTTGGGAGTGGCACAAAACAATGTTCTGGGAGGTGCCCACTCTCTCTCAGGTGCTTAGAGTTCTGAAGCTATGATTGGCTAATTTGACCACCCTGCCGGGCTCAAAAGGAGGTCTCCTAGAGGCAAAACTCTCTCTGACTGCTGGTGGAGGAAGACATGCTGCTGAAAGAGACACGGGCTCCTGAGACATGCGTTGCTGGGAAAGAGACGCAAGAGACAAGCATTGCTGAGTGAGACACCAAGGGACCAGCACTGCTGGGAAAGAGACTGAGAGACTGTTGGCTGAGGGATGGTGGGCTGGGAGAGAGAATGAGCGTTTTCCCTGAATTTGAATTGTAGTCTGTGGTGCTTCCCTAATAAACCCCATAATCTGTGAGTTCTGTGTGGCCACTGCAGCGAATTATTGAACCCAGGAGAGAGGTGGTGGACGCTTTGGAAGGAACGGTTGGTGAAAGGGCTGGAGGGAGGCAGCATGTCTGGCCTTGCAGTAATAGGCCTTGGGTTACTGCTGGTAATCCTGTCTTCCTCTTGTGGGATTAGAGGAGGTCAGAACATGTGGCCTCCTTGCCGATTTTGCAGTACATAAAACAATAGAGGAAAAGAAATATATAATATTATATTCCAGTATTATTTTTCATAGGGGACAAAGGAACTTAGCTGGTCTATTTTTAATGTGGACAATAGCAGTATTTCTAAATTTCTCATTTTTATCTAGAAAATTCTCTCAAGATAGAAGGTAAAATGTCTATGCATCAATAGGTTTCAAAATTTAAAATCCAATCGAAAATGGAACAAAATTAAAGATGTAATATAGCAGGGGACAGGAAATTGAAAAATGACTTATGCATTAGTCCTTTAAATAAAATTCTGCATCAGAGAAATTTAAAATGTATATGTAGTCTTGTTATAGAAAAAAAAACCTGTAACTTCTCATTAAAAGGAAAAATCAGGAAGTCATTGGATAACATCTACTGCAAAAAGTAATAAAAACAATAATCAAGCAACTGTATTATATAGATATTTCAAATATTAATGGTTTTATGATACATTATTTTAGTAAGATCCTAACCTTCAGTATTTAGAATATACTTAGAAAATATGCATTACATAATCAATAAAATGCCAGAATTTAACATTGAATAAAAGGTTGAAGGCTTCCATTGGAATTTCTAACCCCTGATTACAGTCTGCACTCCTATGTAAACTCTTTGACAACTGACAGATATGCACATGTTTCTTATGCTTCCACAGTCCTATATACTACCATTAAATCCTTTTTCACACTAAATTATACTTAGTTACAATCAATCTACTAACTAGACTGTAGACTCCTTGAGGTCAAATAATACCATTCTTTTACAGTTTCTCTTGTGCTAGGAATGTAACACCATAATAACTCATAATAAACAACCTAAGTGACCATCAACAGATGAATGAATTAAAAATATATATGGTACATATATACAATGGAATAATACTCATAAAGAAAAATGAGTTCTCAAATCATCTTGCATCATGAATGAACCTGGAGGACAATTATCTGAGCAAAATAAGTCAATCACAAAAGGACAAATGTTGTATGGTCTCACGTGTATGAATTAACAAGAATAGGTGAATATACAAATGTTCTTTGGTGGTTTCAGGGGAGGTGGATCATTCTCTAGGTTGTAGTCACTTTTTGTTTATGGTAATGGGAAAGGTGGCAATGGATATCGGTGAAGTTTGCACAGCTTGACTAATATAACTGATATCACTAACTTGTACATAAGAAAAAGGATGAAGTGGCTATAACTGATATCACTAACTTGTACATAAGAAAAAGGATGAAGTGGCAAATTCTATGTTTTTTTTATAATTTTGCAAAATGTATATATATATATATAATAGGAGCTCT